CTCTGATATAATTTGCCCTATACAATCAGGTCCTCTGGTGGAAATTTACTCTGGTCAGCCAGCACTAGGTTGACAACTGTCAGCCAGATGACTTCTTCAGCTGCCTCTAGACCAGGGGTAGGCAACCTTTCCCCTTTAAGGGCCGAGGGACTTCAGCTCCCAGAAGCCTCAGTCATGTTGGCCAATAGTCCCATGTTGGCCAATAGTTTCTGGGATTCTGGGAGCTGAAGTCCCTCGGCCCTTAAAGGGGAAAGGTTGCCTACCCCTGCTCTAGACTGTGGAATGACATGCCAGCAGAGATTTGACAGCAGAATACACTGTCCAAATTCAAAAGAGCATTAAAGACAAATCTTTTCCAGCAGGCTTATCAAATGAAATTTAAATTGTGAATTTAAGTAATGAATTTTAATTGTAGATTTTTAAAATATGTGTACCTCTTGTTTGTCCTTTTAATTGATATGTGTTTTAACTAATGTCTTTCTAACTAATGTTTGTCTGTTACTGTTGTTTTCCCCCTCCTCAGTCCATGGGGAGAGGTGGGCAAGAAAATGTTGCTGTTGTTGTTGTCGTTGCTGTCATCATCATCATCATCATCATCATCATCATCATCATCATCATCATCAGGCCCATGTCCAGGCCATCTGAAGGATTGTAGCTTCTTGTATGAACCTACCAAAGCTTTAAGTTCTTTAAGGGAAGTTCTTTTGACCCCATAGGCATGTTTAGTGGCAATGTGGGAAAGGGTCTTCTTTATGGCTGCTTCCAGACTCTGGAACTCTTTCCTTAGGGAGGCTGGGTTGGCTCTCTTCTATTCCAGCAGACATTTGGGAACTGATTGTTTTATTTAATGGGTTTTCTGTTTTAGTGTTCTACTCTTTTTAATCTATTCTGTTGAATTATTAATTTATATAGTTTGAATTCTATAGACAGTTTAACATTATTTTAATCTTTGTATGTTTTTAGCTACATGTGATGTTACTTGCATTTTATTTTTAAAAATCTGGTAAACTGCCTTGAGTCCCAGTCTCGAGAAAAGGATGGGACATAAATAAAATGATTGGTTGGTTGGTTGACTTGGGATCATGCATGTCTTTGCTGTTTTGTGTTAAAGTATCAGGTTTATCTACCCTCCCCCCCCAGAAGTTTCTACCATTATTTTGTAATGTCATTCTGGCTATTAGAGGGAATTTTCTCCATTGGTTACTGTCAGTGTTTTGTTCAATACTTACATGCATGAACTCTTAACTTTGTACCATTTTTGAAAGAAATTTATTGATTTCCTTTTGGACAATATGATATTTGCTATCCGATGTCTACACAAGTTTGGAAGTTTTATGAGATCACAGAAAAGTTCCTGTTAATTATGACAACATTAAACCAGTTTGTCAAGAATTTTCAAACTTATATTTGGTGATGACAAAAAAGCTATATCTTTTAAAATGATTTCCGACTCGTATGTGTTGGAAATATTGCATTCACTGTTCTGGGTGGAGGCTTAAGCTTTTGCTCAAAAAGTTATTCAGTTTTTT